AGAGGGAACTAATAGGCAATTACAAGATCAAGCAGGGGTCGTCTCCTTTCTTGCACGACCTATGGCTCAGCTCGCTTCCATAGCACATCACCTGGCCCCTCTAGGCCTCCTCATTTTTTGTATTTTTTGAAAGCTTCATGTATAACAATTACATTGGGCGGTCTGATAAGCCCTTTATGTATATGATACACTGACTGTATTTTTCCAGTCCACCCCTTAGGGGGTGAACTTGGCTTCCTCTCTATTGTACACTTCTTACTCAGTAATACAATGTCAACCTTTCTCAAAAAAAAAACAAGCAACATAAGTAGAAAAGAGATTGGACATACTAGTCACATGTTCATGGCTCCTGAATCAATGATCAAGGAGCTCGAGGAGTCATGCAAACATGGTCTGCAAATGCTGATGTGTCTGATTGGGCAATATTTGGCTTAGCGAAGAAGATGGCTCATCACGGGTGAAGGCCCGCTGCTTAAGATCAAGAAGCTCTCACTTGGAAACTGTCTCCAATTCATCTTCAGGTACAGAAGATGTATAGTCAGACATCTTGTTGACACAATATGACAAGCGCAGGTGCATAAGCTCTAGTTATAATGTACTTAAGGCTTCTAATGACATCCTAACATGTTTCCTTTTTGAGTCGGAATTTTCTATTTGGGTACATTTTGGCTTATCCTTTTCATTAGATGTGAGGCTCCTGTGATCACCAATACAATTGCCACCTCAATGACTAGGAGGACCACCACTTCAATTATTAAAAGAATTGGATATTAGGGCAGATCTTCTAGATTCACCAATGGATACATCCATAGGTTTTTGGAGAGTTTCTTCCTGTTGGAGAAGAGGAAATGCCATTCCAAGTGATGGTAGAGTTTTGCCACTTAGAATATTATTTGTGATATTCTCATATTCAGGATTAAGCCCCCGCTAAAACTTCAATATCTTCTTTTCTTCCACCCTTTTCTGTGCTTTTTTTGCACAATGAGAGCAACTTATAGGTGGGTAGTGATCCGGTTCATTCCAAAAACCTGTACGGCAGCGTAATAGTAACCAACTGATAAATCATTTTGTTTCATTCACTGATTGTTGCTCCAACTCACAGAATTTTTATGATATTTTTTCTTTTGTGGGTAGCCTTCAACCATCTTTGTTCCCTAATTTCTAGAAGTGCTACAATTAATAAATGTTCTACTCAAGTTTGGTTGCGTAGAACTTAAAATCCAATTCATAACAATAATATCATTGGCTCGTCAATCTGCATAAGATGGGTCCGTTCTGTCTAGTTTCACTATACAACCATGAATACAACCCAACATTTTTCTACTGTTAAGGATAACCTTACACTTCGGGGCCAGTCCAGTCAGTTTGAGCAATCAAATCTAACAGCAGTGATTAAGAGTATTGTGTACTTAATGTTTGCTGCGATATTGTTACTAGTTCAATGCAATAAACAGGTAGCCATTACTGCTGAAATTTGAATACACCCTCACATTTACCTCTAAGTACTCATTGTAAACACCAAAAGCACTGCACAGTGCATTATCCAATTGATGATACAATTGTGGCTGCAAGTTTCAGAGGTAAAGTGGCTGTAAAGCTATTCGATACACATCAAACAACTAGCAAAAACATCAGGCACAAAGTGACTCCAGGTTTGACCATCTGATACACATCAAATAGTTGTTATCAATCCGCACAAAATAAGACTTGATAGATCTGTTTAAGATTTCTCATAAGAAGAGAAAATTTATGTGACCTGGTCAATCATCAGATCACCCACCAATGGATCAAGAAGAACCCTATGTTTTGGGACAAACTCTAAAAAAATGGCACCTTTCCTGAAAAATCAAATGGAGTGAATCCTAGAAAATTTCAATTTCCTTTTATGTCAGTGAGCAAGTACGAGATGAGTATATGAGAGAGGAGAAAGAAGATGTAGAGAGAAAGGAAGGACAAAGGTGCACGAGAGGAGAGGTGTATGAGAGGAAAAGAAGAGAAAATAGTTGTTTGATTCCCCTAAGGGGCTGTTTGGATACCTTGAAATATATTGTATGTGAATTATATTACTGGCGTAATACATTACTTGTAAATGGATTGTTACTGTTTGGGTAGTATTTAGATGTCACCTGGGAAATACATTGTTGTTGTTTGGCTATGTCTGGAAGAAATATAGGAAATGTATTACTAACATTTTACCAGCATGTGCCTATAAACTATCCTTTCTTTCTTTTTCGTCACAAAATTCCACTAAAATGCAGAATTATCATTTCTTTCTTTTTTGACACAAAATTCCACTAAAATACTGAATTAATAGCATCATCACACCATTCCAAAAAGATTTTTAATAATAACATTATCACCATTCCAAAAAGATTTTCTAATAATAACTTGTACCATTTTACAGCCATGACGCTATTTCCTACTTATTTTAAGTGCCTTTGGCACTTATATGCAATCACATGCTTTCTAACATGACATTGGTCTCAACATGATAAGTCATTGGAACAATATGATTGGAATAACATGATTTTATTATGATAAGGCTTAGTTTTATTTATTTTTTTATAGAAGTCTTTCAAATGTCTCTCTATATAATTTCAAATAAACAATAAATTTATGATACTAAATTCAAAATCTGTAGGGTACAAGTTAAAAAATGGAAAGAAGTTTGATTAGTAAACTAAAAGGTTTGGTAATTGCAGTATAAAATTTTGAGGTATTGGAGGAGACTAAAGAGGTATGTTATTTCAATTGAGATTTTAGTAGTCTCTTATGAGGATTATGTTGTGTGAAAATTTTTATTATGATTGTGTTGTGTAATTTATCATTGATTATTGATTGATTTTTATTTTTATTATTTTTGTTTTTATATGACGCTGATGCCCTCAAATGAGGGGACGAGCTTAAAAAGGGAGGGATCACATTATGTTGTGTAAATTTTTTTATTATGATTGTGTTGTGTAATTTATCATTGATTATTGATTTTTATTTTTATTATTTTTGTTTTTATATGACAACTGATGCCTTCAGATAAGGGACCAAGCTTAAAAAGGGAGGGATCACCTAGTTATTATGAAGAGAAGAGAAGAGATGAAGAGAGAGGGCTTAGAAGATTTTTTTAATTAGGGATAGGGATGCCTTCAAATAAGGGGACAAGCTTAGAAAGGGAGGGATCACCTAGTTATTATGAAGAGATGAAGAGAGAGGGCTTAGAAATTTTTTTTAATTAGGGATAGGGTATTATGAAGAGATGAAGAGAGAGGGCTTAGAAGATTTTTTTAATTAGGGATAGGGTAGGCAAAAATGCACGTGAAAGATTTCCCAAAATTACCCGTCACTCTCGTAATAGATTTTTCACCTATCACCGTGCGTAATGGATTTCCTGATTTTTGGGGAAATCTCGCGTAATCTCTTTCCATTTCCTAAGTATACCTAAACAGTGGAAATGCCATATTTCCTTGTAATCTATTGTCACATAATAGATTTCCAGGTACCCAAGTGGCCCCTAAGTGATCAAACAACACATATATTTATTGTATTGATATGAAAAAATTGCAAGAATGCCCTCGTTTAAGTAAGTAACTCACATATAATCCTATATTCCTATTAAAACAAGATATTTCATTTATGTTGGTAACTTACTACTACACTTTCAACATATATGTCTGGACAGCTTGCCCAATCTGTTTCCAAACAAACTAATTGGTCTAGTTCTAAAAGATGGGCAGGCAAATTACGTGAACAATATACTATACATATTGAGTCAATAAGCATTTCACACCATATTCAATGCCTTGGGTGTCTGAACATACTGCCTTATATATGAGAAATATGTGATTTGATAGGAATAGACACCCCTACTTGATCGTTTTATCTCACCTTATTCTACGAAAATTTAGGGCTGGTCAAGTTGAAAGTGTTGGAGATGTTTGATGGGTTTAACTTGAGGCAAGACTCAGTGGAACCTTTAGTGCTACTCCATCATCTTGGTCCTCAAAACACGGTTAAAGCAAATTTATATATATGGTGGTGGCGCTCTAGCTAAGGAATACAATTACATGATTTAGGATCCCGAACTTGTTCCCATTCTTTAGGGAATGCCTTTCGTATTTTCTTTGGAGCTCTTTTTACTAAAGTTGTTAAGGGAGAGCCTAATCTCTCCTTTTGTTTCAGAACCTAAAAAAATACATCGTCGTCATCATCATCATCCCAGCCTTATCCCAATTAGTTGGAGTTGGCTATACGAATCCTGTTCCACCATTCGGGTTCACGATTTGTGAAAAGATGTTGTAAAGTTTTATACTAGATCCCCTACCTAACACAACCCTCCTCCTTTATCCAAGCTTGGGAACGACATGACCAGCTAATAAACTCTATGAAATAAATTCTGAGTTTCAAGATTTTTTTTTTTTAATATTTATTTTACGAGTGTCCCGACGAGGGATTGGGGAGCTTCTAGCAAGCAATGATTTCCTGCTCTTGTTCCCTCTCTTGCTCACAACTATGCCTCAAAAATCTATGTTGTCTGGACATAAGTGTGGGTTTAACTGTATGGTTGTTAGACATGTATGCGATGTCTGATTCCGCATGACATGGAAATATGGACCTGGTGAGAAAAAGATCTTATGGTTGTATTTTTTTGGTACTTTTTGCATTTTTTAACATGATTGGGGGTACTTGTGCATCTAGTACTAAAGCTACTAATAGTTTTGAAACTAGAACATAAAGGAAAAATTGATTTTGATTATTCCTTTGTGTTTATAGGTGAGGAAATTATGTGATGCACATGAGCACATTCTTACCTTAGATTTCATAGTGGTGTTGCTCTTTAAAGTCTAGAGAGACGTCTCATTCATGTTTTTATCATGCCTTGTTTCTTGATGTAGATTATTTGATGTTGATTGGATATTGCAAGAGGTTTCTTATGCAAGCATTTCAATTTGTTTTTTGTTCTGGCTTCATTCTTTTATTAATCTATTCTATTTCTCTTCTCCTTAAAGGTGTTGAAAAATCGGGAAAAAATGTTGAAGGTGATTCATGGTGGGAAACGTGGCAAGAAGTTCTTCACCAAGACGAATGGAGGTGAGAAGTATGACTAATGTATTTTATATATTTGAAAATTGTGTTGCTAGCCATCTTTACGAAAGTTTCCTTCGTTTAGCACTGTTACTTTTGGATTAGGAATCCTGCTAACTTTGCCATGCTTTGTCCAAGATTTGGCAAAGTATATATCCCAATCATTTCAAGGTTTGACAGTGGGTAAGGAATTGTGGGAAGCGTCATTCTAAGGGTGGAAAGGGGAGGAATGTGGTTGTGAGCACCACGCCTTAGGATGAGGACAGGGGTAGAGTAGATAGAGGACTAGGATTTTTCGTTTTAAAGGGGTTTGGGATCCAGACCTAATGCTTAGACAAACAAAACCAAATAACTGAATACTGATATATCTTTGGTGATACATGCTGTAGGTGCAGTTAAGGTTCATAGGACTTACTTTTGTTTGAGACAAAAATTTTATGACATCACATGCACTATTCAGAAGAAGGTTGGAAACTCAACCTCATTATAGTAGGTTTACTATCCTCAGACCAATGGGCACATAGAAGTCGTCAAGTGGTCTTGTTAACGTGCTGAGAAACTTATTGGAAGACAATTAGACACAAATGAGATCTAATTTTTCCTCTAGCGAAATACTCTTATCTTGGTATTATGTCATTACATGAGAGTTGCAGCAGAAAATCAGAAAATGAAACTGTTCTTTAATTGAATGAATCAAATACAATATAAGGGTTTTTCTCATATACAGTAAACCTGAGGTTCTTTATTTATACATACATAAACACCCCCTCATTTACTATGGCAGATGAGTTCTACATTGTCACGTTGCAATTCGTTAACTAACCTAAATCAACTCTGCAACCTACTTCTTTGTAGATATAGATGGTAAAGAAAGAAGCCATCAACGAATCTGTCCTGAATTCTGGGATTTTTACAATATTGATAGTACTGATGTTGTCACTATAAAGAATTGTCGGTCAAGAGTTGTCCACCTTGATGTCAACTAATAACATACACAACCACAAAACTTAAGAGGAGGCAAAGGACATTATTCACTGGGCTTAGATAGTACTATTTATTTCTGGCTTTTGAGAATAATTTTCTTTCTACACCAAGAAATGAGCATCGCAAGAAAATATAATATCCAGATGTCGAGCGCCAAATCCCTTGGCAGCTAGTTTGGAGTCTGCATATGCCACCAACTAAAAGCTCATGGGCGACAAAACGAATCTTCTGCCTGAAAGTGAAAGATGTGAACTAGCACGCTCTATATAGTTTAATATTTTTCTTTTGCGATACTAGCTAGAACACTTATATATGTCCAAATATTGCAATTAAAACTCAAACAAATGACAAGAAAACAAATTATGGATTCTCATTTAAAACTCTTCATTACAGAATTAAAGATTACAACAAATGAGATTGGGATCAAGAAAATATAAGAAAACAAAGAACAAGACAATGTCCCTAAAGATTACCTTATAAGGACTTTGCACACCACACACCGCACACCGCACACCCCACACCAAGTCTCCTCTACCGATGACGCACGGTATTTAGGTGTTTCTTGAATCTCAGCAAATGGGAAGTATTGCCAAACCCTTTACTCAATACCAGAGAGCATGCACACAAAACATGGGATTTTTGTTCTTCCCATTCTATGTGGGCCTTGCCCCCCTTCTATGTGTCAAACCCTAAGGGTGTGCCCTTCTTTTCTTTTCTTTGGGTGCTTTGAGAGAGAGAGAGAGAGAGAGAGAGAGAGAGAGAGAGAGAGAGAGAA